AATAAATAGATGCTTTGCTTGGTTTTTTTTTATAGGATAGGGTGACAAACGGGAACACAGTCCACATGATGGTAAGTGGTTGCTGTGACCCATAGACATGTACATTTATTCTCAATAAAGAATCAAAATGCAGATGCGTCGGCATCCGTGAAGACTAATATGGAATGCCTCATTTCCAGTAAAATGGGTCTCTAGTTCTCTACATCCACCATACGAAACACAGCAGTGTCAAGCTGCCATTTTACGCTGGTATTCTGTGAGAGCGTGGTCCTTCCCCGGTCGAGCCGAACCATTCGTTTTACAACAATACTACTAATATAGCTGCAGCATGGTTCTACCACGTATACAACTCGACTAGTTTATACAAATTTATACTATATCTGTCTTCTGTCTCATCCTTTTCATATGGTAACAGTACAAAAACAAGAGATTTTATTTTAAAAAAACTGAAGTGAATATCGAAATTAAAGTCCACCCGATGTTAAGTGGCTACTACATCCGACTTTATACAAAAGAGGTTATAGATGCGTTGAAAGGTGTGTACCTCGTAGTAGCGGTGTGAAAATATCCTCTACTCCATATTAAAAAAAAAGGCGACGACAGCTTGTTAGCAGTTTGCGGACCGCGAACTAAAAATATCGTGATTTCGAATCCGCCATTCAATTACTGTCGTGAACCACTCTTAACACAAACATTTAAAGCTTATCAGGAGTGGTTAAATGGAATATATATATAGTTCTTTCAATAGAGATACGGTTTTAAGAGGTGGCTCCTTAATATTAGCTAGTAAATTATTATCATGTAAAGAACGTAAAGACATTGTGAGCCTCTCTGTTGAGCGAACTGTAGAAATGGCATGTGTTGAGTTTGAGCACCTCATTGTTGTGAGCGTCTACAGACCCCCATGTTGTACATATGATACTTTCGAAAACATTATGGAGGAAGTTTTTACTAAGCTTAATAAACAGAATAAATCTGTTGTAATATGTGGAGACTTTAATATCAATCTCCTAGAAGCTTCCTTCATCAATATTAAATTTAGATCATTGTTTAAATCATATGGTCTTTTTAATTTATTTATAGAGCCAACGCGTATTTCTCAATCTAGTGCAACATGTATAGATAACATTTTTACAAATGTGAAGCCGTTGCATAAATGTATAATTCAAAAATTAAGTTCTGATCACTGTGGACAAGTAGTTTCGTTACCTTATGTTCACAAAAAGCGAGTAGATGAGAAAGTTGTGTCTGTTCCAGTAAATGCACGTCGCTTGGAGAAATTTAGAAGTAACATAGTGAAAAAACTTCCATCACTTTCATACCAAAATGATCCTAATTTTTTGTATGGAACATTATTTAAGCTTATTTGCAACGAATTTAATAATACTTTTACTTCCAAAACATTCTCCTTGAACAGTCGGAAGTCATTCAATGAATGGGCGACAGTAGGAGTCCATAAGAGCAGGCATAGGTTATATGATCTTTACCATGAAAGGTCATATAATCATAGCGTCGAATTTAGGGAATATGTAAAAAAATATTCAAAAATATTTAAAAGAGTGTGCTCCATAGCCAAGTCTTTGCATTTGAGCAACAAAATTAAGACGGCTTCCAATAAAATTAAAATGACATGGAGTATAATTAATAGCGAAACTGGTAAGATCAACTCTCGCAATTCAAATTACCAGTTAAGTGTTAACAACAAATTAACTGTATCAGATCAGGACGTAGCAATGGTTTTTGAGAAATATTTTACTGATATTCCAATCTTGACCACTAAGTCACTGAATTCTTCTCCTGCCGTCGCCGAATCATTACTTAAGCAAAATGTAAATGTATGTACAAAGAATTTTACATTTCATAAAGTGTCATCAAAAGATATTGTAAAATATTTTAAAACTATTGATGTTAAGAAAACTGCGGATCTGTGGGGGATTTCCGTTAAAGTTATTGCGTCTATAATAGATACAATCGCGCCTCATTTAGCTATTATTTTTAATACTAGTATCGAATCTGGTGTGTTTCCTGATTTAATGAAGCATAGTAAAGTAATACCTTTATTTAAATCTGGTAGTACATTAGACCCCGCCAATTTTAGACCTATTTCTGTACTATGAACACTTAGTAAGATTTTTGAAAAAATTGTTCTTGATCAAATGTTAATTTTTTTTAATATAAATAATTTACTTCATAAAAATCAATTTGGTTTCACAAGGGGTCGCTCGACAACTGATGCCGGTGTTGAGCTGATTAAATATATCTTTAATGCATGGGAGAATTCACAGGATGCTTTGGGTATATTTTGTGACCTATCCAAGGCCTTCGATTGTGTTCACCATGAAACATTAATCAGGAAACTTCAACACTACGGTGTAAGAAGTGATGCCCTTAAATTAATTATTTCATATTTAAGTAAGAGAACGCAAAAAGTTGTCATTAACAATATGAGCTCTTCCGGATCGATGGTACAAATGGGCGTGCTTCAAGGCTCAATTCTCGGCCCCTTTCTGTTTCTTGTATACATTAATGACTTACCTTACATAGTAGGGGATAACCATGATATAGTATTATTTGCAGATGACACTTCTTTAATTTTCAAATTAAGTCGACAGTTACTAAAATATGACGAAGTAAATAATGCTATCTCTAAATTAGTAAATTGGTTCGATGTTAATAATTTGCATTTAAATGGCACTAAAACAAAATGTATGAAATTTGTGACTCCAAATGTCAAACAATTAAATACTAATGTAATTTTAAATGGGGAGAAACTGAGTCTTGTAGATACCACCATTTTTCTTGGAATCACACTAGACGCGAAGCTTCAATGGAGCCCCCATATATCAAAACTAGCAAGCAGACTTAGTTCTGCAGCATATGCTGTAAAAAAGATTAGAAGTCTAACCAGTGTTGAAACAGCTAGACTAGTTTACTTCAGCTACTTCCATAGCATAATGTCGTATGGTATTTTGCTATGGGGACACGCAGCTGACACTGAAATTATATTTGTTTTGCAAAAGAGGGCCATAAGAGCAATTTATGATTTTTTTTTTTTTATTTATTTTTTTTTTATTTATTTATTTAGAAAACCAACAGCTTTAAAAAAAAAAGATTACATCCGATTGAATTAGCTTAACATAAGCCTTATTACAGGTTTTCCTATGTTATCTATACATAATTAAAAAGAAAGAGCGACGCTTATCGGTGTGTGTGTGTGTGTGTGTGTGTGTGTGTTCAATACCTTAATTATAAATAACTATTAAAAAGTTTTTTGCATACTTCAGTTTTAAAGGTTTCTCTCTTTTTCGTAAAAATATCAATGTTTGCAAAAAATTGGTTATAAGTACAACACATCCGATTTATTGGTGAGTTTTTGCTATATTTTGTATGAAAGTGGCAGTTGGAGAACAATTTGGTATGTCTTGTTCGATATATGGGCGTTGAGAAGTTAATAAGTCCCAGTAAATACGAATTATCAAGTCGGCCGTGAATTAGGTCATACAGTGTCATTTGATCAAGCATTTTTCTTCTATCTTCTAATGAGAGGAATTTATGATATACACATCTTTCTTTGTATGCCTGATGTCGTTCTTTAATTTTGTAGTCCATGAACTTTAAAAATTTATTTTGTAATACTTCTATTTTGTTAATATATGTATGATATTGTGGACACCATATGTTGCTACCATATTCTAAGATACCGCGAACATAGGCATAGTATAATAATTTAATACAAGGTAAGTTTGAGAAGGGTTGACATGTACGTATTACGAATCCTAAGTTTCTGTATGCTTTATTTGTGATATAATCAATATGATTACTAAATGTAAGCTTGGAATCTAATAAAATGCCAAGGTCTCGGACTACCTGTACTTTTTGAATTGTTGTTCCATTCAATCTGTAAGTATATTCTACTGGTTTACTTTTGCGTGTGAATGTGCAAGTTTGACATTTTTTGACATTAACAGAGATACGATTATTTATGTAGTAATAGTCCAACCTCTTCAAATCTTCTTGAAGCTTATAACAATCCTCTAAATTTTTTATTTTAAAAAATATCTTTTTATCATCTGCATACAACATGAACGAGGAATGTTTAAAGCATGTATATATATCATATAGATAAGCGTTATATAGGAGGGGCCCTAAGTGAGACCCTTGTGGTACGCCAGATGTGATTTTTATAAAGTTTGATTTGTGTCCTCCTACAACTACTGCCTGAGAGCGATTTCTTAGGTAAGAATCAATCCATCTCAGAAGGTCCCCATGTATTCCAAGTATTTTTAACTTACGAAGCAAGATGACGTGATCCACGCGGTCAAAGGCTTTTTCGAAATCCGTGTAGATCACGTCAACCTGACCTCCGCCATCCATATGATGCATGGTCTCTGTGATAAAGTGTGTTAAGTTACTAATGGTTGATCTCCCTTTGAGGAAACCGTGCTGAAATTCTGGTAAGCCCCGACTTATGGTAGGGTAAATGTAATTAAAGACTAATTTTTCAAAGGTTTTCGCGAATATATTAAGTATAGATATGGGTCTATAATTTTCGACTTTAACACGTGATCCTCTTTTAAATATGGGTACTACATGAGCTTCTTTCCAGATGTACGGGAAATAACCTTCCTGAAGAGATCTATTGAATAAAATGTGAAGAGGCTCCGATAGTGACTTAGCGCATTTAGATATAAATATAGGTGGAATTTTATCACTGCCCGGTCCCTTTTTTAAGTCGACTTGCTGTAGCGCTTTAAAAACCTCTTCCTTAGAAACTCGAAAGCAATGTAGATGTTGGTTGTTGCTACTAGAAGGCATTGGTAATTCAACATTGGGATACGAATTAGCAGGTGGGTTAAAAACACTTTTGAAAAATGAGTTGAAGGCTTCTACAATTGCGGGGCCTTCGCTATACGTTATATTATTATACGAGATTCTATTTGGGTAAGAAGAAGTACTACCACGTTTTGATTTAATATAAGACCAAAAACATTTAGGGTTATTCAATATGGCTTGTTGAGTAGTCTCCAAATATTTGTAATAACACTGTTTACTATATACTGATGCACGCCTACGCAATAAAGAGAACATGTTGTAATCCGCTAAGTTATGAAATTTTTTCCAAATTTTGTGAGCTTTAGCTTTTTCCTTTAATATATTAATCAATGTTTTATTATACCATGGGGGCTTTTTTGTATTGTGAGATAGAGATGGTACACTTGGTACATATTTGTCTATACAATAATTTAATTGTTTGTAAAAGAAATCTACAGCTTCATCAATATGTCCAGTATATAAATGAGTGGCCCAGTCGATTTCACATAAATATGTGTTTATTTTAACAAAATCGGCTGAATTAAAATTATATTTATTAATAATAGAGCATTTAAGTGGTGGGATAGCCACATTTAAATCAAATTTTAAAGGAGGATGAAATGGATCTATCGTAGTTAAAGGTTTGTCACATAGTATTATTTCTGTATCTATATTAGAAAAAATTAAATCTAATGTGTTATTACAACTATTTTTAAAATAAGAGTATTGTCGCAATCCATGATAGGCAAGTTCGTTAATTAATTGCCCCCCTATTATTTGTAGCTCGGTAGAACCCTGTCTTAATATTGTAGGTTCACTTTCATTCCAGTGAATATTAGAGAGATTAAAATCACCCGCAATTATATAAAAGTCGCGCGAGTTAATTCTATTACAAAGCGATTCCAAAAACAATTTAATATCTCTAGCGTGAGTTTCGTCCGTACGACGATGCTTTGATGATTTACCCGGTATATAGGTAGTTATTAAATGCACATTTTGATCGGGCGGGGTATGAGGGGTATGAGGGGCATGGCGCGAGTAATCGTGTGCGCTTCGTGTTGTGAACGTATGACCCAGTACCGGTATTGTTATCCAGAGCGTCTCGATAGAAGCGCACTGCTGTTTCCACAATTCGTCAATAGTCGCACAAAGTGTACGACGAATTATGATCGCCACACCTCCACCTGATGATTTGCCTGTTTCTGATAGTACACGATCCTGCCTATACACAATATATCGATTATCACAGATCTCCCCATCTAAGATACCATCGTGAAACCAGGTTTCTGTTATAATAATTATGTCATAATCATTATTCAATATTTCTAAATAAAGCGAATGAAGTTTTGTACGTAAACCTCGTGCATTTTGGTAATAGACAGATATTGGTGTATTATCCATTGAGCAAATTATTATCATTAGTCCTTATTAATTTTAACATTGTGTATATTATATAAAATAATAAATATATATGCACATATATATAAATACATAAATAAACATATTTAAACTTAAGCATGTACCCATACATAACACATAATAATTTAGTTTGTATTAGCTGATAATGATTATGACTATTATAGAGTTTAATTAAATAGCAAAAAATAATAATTGCTTGAGCAAACATTGATATTTTTGGTACAATTTTTTGTACTTGTGAGTATAAATACGCCGACAGTATGCAAATAACTTGGGAACGATTTATGGATGCGTATAGTTTTATAAGTTGAGATAGAAAGGCTACAAGGTAATTTTGTGATGTGTAATATAAATCGATTGCTAATTGATTATGGTTGCAATTGGTAAATAGAAGAATGGTATTTGTGTTGTGTGTATGTGGTGTGTTAGTGTGTAGTGTGTGTTTGGTTTTTTTATACAATATTTTGAAATAAAATGACGTACCTTTTTGACAACAATATAACAGATTTACGCATTGCTTCAGTACCTTATAAAAATTGCTAAGTAAGTATATACTACCTAATAAAGTATAATTTATTTTGTAATTTATTTCAACTTTTTTAAGTCTATTTCTGAACTGACAATAATGTGTGGTGATGTATCGTTTTGGCGAACATATATTTTGCAGTTTTTTATCCAAACATACCTATAGCCTAGCTCGGTGGCTATCTCACGACACTTTTTGTATAACCTCTTGTTGTCTAGGGTTAAGTGCTCGTTAACAAATATTTTCTTGTGTTCACCTCCATGCCCGAGATCTCCAGTGGTGATGCCACGATGTTTTTTAACGCCAGCAATAAGATTATCCTTGTAAATACGGGAGCGCATTTTTATGATAATATTACGAGGTCGACCTTTAACGGGATTTTTAGCTTGCACTCTTGTGCAGCTTTCTATATCTCCGGCGCTCATCGCAACACCCACTTTTTCTGCGATGCGTAATACTAAACTGGTTAGATCTTCATTTTTACTTTCTGGTACTCCCACCATTTCTACATTCAATTGACGTGCCCACTGTTCTTGTCTTCGGTTTTCTATGGAAAGCTTATCTAATATCACTTGCATTTCCAAGATTTCACGACTTTGTATCTTAAGTTTTTCTTCGGAAGAAGTTGCGAGTTCTTGTAGGGTATCAATGCGTTTGGATGAGAATTCTAAGGAGATTTGCATTTCGGTGATTGTGGCAGCTGTGGCCTGTTGAGCTGAGTGTATAGCATTTAAAGTGTCCTTAATATTTACTTGGTCCTGAGAAAGACTGTCTGATATATATTTTAGATCACATAGTTGTTCTTTTAATGATGATATTTCTTCATATATTTTTTTAATGTTCTCATCCTGGGAAGTTTTGAAATCGGTAAGAAAGGACATCATCTCTTTCCTAAAGTCATTTAGTTCTAATTTCATTGTTTCTTCTGGTTGTTTTCTTTTTGATCCTCGGAGGGTAGTATTGCGTTGCTGTGTAACCTCAATATCACATTTAGCAAGATCGGGCTGGCAGCTAGCAAGACCAACTTTAGCCACAGACGGAGATCTTTGAACGTTCAT